GGCCAAGAGAAGTAGAAAAACTATCGCATGGGAAACTTGTTGCTAAAACGCCGGATAAATTACCAGAACTGATTATAAATCGAAAGTAGCAAGCGCATCGTAGGCCGTGGCCAAAGAATGAAGTTATGGTTCTGGACGAAGGATAGCCTGGCGAGTAACCACTGCCAATATCTCATCATCACGCAGAGCCAAATCAAAAGGGGCCATTCAATCCCCCCGAAAGGCTCTGCTATTTTATTTTTCCTTTTCCCACCACTCTGTGTTGTGTGCGTGTGATTGCTTCAGGACCAATAGTTTACAAGAAGCCTGTCCTTTCGCAAGCGTTTAAAATTTTCAAAAAATATTTAAAGCACCAGATACAGGCCCACAAAGCCCAAACATTTTAAAAACGGATGGAAGAAATTAGGGAGTCATATGATGGGAAATGGAAAGCTAGAGATGGAGAGACACAAACGCAAAAGCTCAAACCACAACCATTCATTGAAGAAGAGACTATCCATAATCTCATCCTCTAGTTTCAGTCATCCACCAATTTCTTACTGATCACTTCTGCTCTTCTACTTAATCAAACTAAAACCTCTGCCAGGTTTCTGTCTGTCTGTCTTTGCTACGTACCACCGCTTAAACAGCTTCCTCGACAACCATTATGGCTTCGGCCACTGTTTCTGTAGCCAAACCAACCCTTCAGGTTCATTGCAGCTCGTCTTATTAGTACTACGCACGTGTTACTAAATCCCTTTTATTAATGTGTTTTGCGCTGAAGTGATGCTCAAACCAATGTTTCTTTTTTCTTTCAGGCAAATGTAAAGGGTTTTGCAGAATTCTCAGGCCTACGCAACTCCTCAGCTATCCTTCCCTTCGCCAGGAAAACTTCCGCTGATTTCCTTTCAGTCATTGCTTTTCAGACATCTGCTGTGAGTTTGATGCTCTACCAAATTTATCAGTACCTTTCCATCCTAGTCTCCACTATCATAATGTTATCCGAATTCTGAAGAGAGAAAATTTCTTTATAGCAGAGTGATGATACCACACACACACATATAGGATTCCGTTTACATTATTTATAGAGATGATGGGGACGGAGTCAATGGACTAAACTCTGAGGGAGTACTTTCTCGACTATATTTATCGTTATATTGTAGTCGTACGGTAGTTATGATGGTTTAAGAACCTGAAATCACACTAATAATACAATATCAAGCTCACGACTGTCCTTCTTGGACCATAAGTTTTTCAGCAGACTTGCAATTCGTTTATAGCCTGCAATTAACTTTAAGCCCCTTATTAGAAGAGGGCAAGTGAAAGTATCTTCAAATTATCTCTTTATTTAACACCAAATAATTTGTGGAAGAGCAATTAATTCATACCTGTTTAATGTATGTGCCTTGCAACTTTGGTTCATGATGTATAATGTACTGAATCTATTATATCCTTAGACTTCTGGTTAAAATTTCAAATTACAAATGAGTTACCCTGTTTTTTACTTATATGCATTTGGATCCATACTCATTTTTGTAGTTGGGAAGCAATAATGGTGGATACAGGAAAGGGGTGGTAAAGGCAAAGCTAAAGGTCGCGATAAATGGGTTTGGTAGGATTGGCAGGAACTTCTTAAGGTGCTGGCATGGCCGTAAGGACTCCCCACTTGATGTCATTGCCATCAATGACACTGGTGGTGTGAAGCAGGCTTCTCACCTTCTCAAATATGACTCTACCCTTGGCATCTTTGAAGCCGATGTCAAGCCCGTAAGCGATGATGGCATCTCTGTCGATGGAAAGGTTATCAAGGTCGTTACTAACCGCAATCCTGTCAACCTCCCTTGGAAGTAAGAATTTCTAGTTTCACTTTTAATGCATCAATTTGCATATGAAGTAACTATTGCTAACAATTGTTACTTTCATCAAAACCGATAATGTGTATGTAGGGACTTAGGAATAGACCTGGTGATTGAAGGAACTGGTGTTTTCGTCGATAGAGATGGTGCAGGTAAGCACATACAAGCAGGAGCCAAGAAAGTGCTCATTACTGCCCCTGGAAAGGGTGACATCCCAACCTATGTTGTTGGAGTTAATGCTGACACCTACAACCCAGATGAGCCCATTATCAGCAATGCTTCTTGCACCACCAATTGCCTTGCTCCCTTCGTCAAGGTTCTGGACCAGAAGTTTGGTAATTCCTTTGACCATATTGTCCCCATGCCTACAAATTTCTTAATTTGCCTGCCTCTGTCTTTTAATTCGCACTTCTTAAAATGGTTCGACTTAAATGGTACGTATGACTGTAGACAATAGTGGTATGCCTACTACAAGAATGATAACGTTTTTTACTAGTTATAAAACTGGTGTCCAATCTAAAAATTCCAGGTCTTCGAAAACTTCAAACAGTTTAATTGTTAAGAGGCAGAAATTTACTGTATGTTGACATGCAATAATGCGGTACTGACATAATATATGATAGGTATCATTAAGGGCACCATGACTACAACTCACTCGTACACTGGTGACCAGAGGCTGCTTGATGCTAGCCACCGTGACCTCAGGCGTGCTCGGGCTGCAGCTCTCAACATTGTCCCGACTTCAACTGGTGCAGCAAAGGCTGTGGCCCTTGTACTTCCTACTCTCAAAGGCAAACTTAACGGCATTGCTTTGCGTGTACCAACACCAAATGTGTCGGTCGTTGACCTAGTCATCCAGGTCTCAAAGAAGACCTTTGCTGAAGAGGTGAACGCTGCTTTCAGAGAAAGTGCCGAGAAAGAGCTTAAGGGTATCCTTTCTGTATGTGACGAACCCCTTGTTTCAGTCGACTTCAGGTGCTCTGATGTGTCCTCCACCGTTGATGCATCACTCACCATGGTCATGGGAGATGACATGGTTAAGGTGATTGCTTGGTACGACAATGAGTGGGGTTACTCTCAAAGGGTTGTGGATTTGGCTGACATTGTTGCCAACAACTGGAAGTGATTGGAAATACTTTCCTGCTATATGGATGGTCGATTTTTGCTCACCTAATTCCTTTTTGGCTTTCAGAATTTCTCCTGTTGTTAAGACTATATATATATATATATATATATATATGTATATGCACATATATATATTTATTCTCTCTAGGATGTTTTTGCAATAAAATGCTTACTTTCACATTGAAAGCCCGTTTCCACGCTATGCCATTTCATTGCTTTTATTTGTTTCTCTGTTCTGAATGTGGGTTACAAAGAGTGACAGGCTAATTTATATCCATTGATCTTCTATACAGAGGAGTAAATTCGGTTTAAAAAATTTAAAATTTAATGGTAAATATACCTATATGAAATATTTAAAAAATATAACTGTTGTTGTAAGCAATGAAATGTCACTCATTAAAGTGATCGATACTTAAGACTGTGAATTTGAAAAATATAACAAAACAAACATCAGAATCTCATTGTTGGTTAGTTATGGACACATGTTAAAGTTAATTAAAATTTTTTTTATTTAATGCATTATTTTCATCAAATTTATAAGAAAATAATGCATCATTTACAATTTTTTTTTTTACAAATATATATATATATATATAATGGAAAATTCTATAACATTTCTCTTAGGAATTCTGTTTACTTATAGGCAGGCGTTAAGATTTTGTTGAAGAGTGCCAATAGAAATTTGTTAAGATTATATTTATAGAAAAATTTGTAATTAATAATGAACTTGATAGAATACTGCATTAAATGAAAAAAATAATTTTTAAAATAAAATTTTAACTAACATTAGCGAGTTTCTGTGACATCCAAATTTTAAAATCCATTTGAATGCAAAGTGAGATTAATAATAGCAAAAAAATGAAAGATTAGTTGTTGTAAGATGATATTAAAATCAATAATGAGATTTTTATTTAAATGCAAAAATAATGATGACAATAAGATAAAATATAGTGAAAAAGAAAGTAACTATTAAAGGGTATTAGAATAAAAATTGTATGTAATAAAAAATTTAAATTATTTAACATTTATAAAATTAATAAATAATTAAAAATTATCAAAATATTTTTATGTCAAATATGGTAAAGCAAATATGTAAGATTTATATATTGGATTAAGAGTTTAAAAAATAATTTTATTAACATAATACATATATAAATATAATATTGTATTTTATTACATTAAGGTATTCAATAATTATTCTATTAATATAATATGTATATAAATGTAAAATTAAATAAATAAATAAAATATTTTTATAGATATCCAAGACAGGATAGAATACCCTAAACTCGTATCCCACTTTAAATTGATTTAAAAAAAGACTTGATATAATAAAAATTTTTTAAAAAATGCATTTGTTAGATCAAGATAAATTAAAATCCATAAGTTATAAGTTGTTTTATCATTCATATATTAATTTTTTTTGCTAACAAAATTTATCTAATAAAAAAAGATAAAATTTTTTTTAAAAAAGAAAAAAATAAGAAATGAAAGAAAGTCAAATAAGGGATATAAATATTTATTAAATTAAAGTAATAATAATAATTTTATTAATATAATACATATATAAATAAAATTAAATAATAAAATATATATTTTATATATACTCATGTTGAGGCAAAGCACCATATATATTTATATATATATTTGGGACAAGTTGAAATATCATAAATCAACCTTCGATCCAATCTCTATTTAAGAAAAAAAAAAAAAAAAAAACCTTTGATCAGGTCCCAAATTTTAAAAAAACGTAGCTATTTGATTGGAGCAATTCGAACCCACCATTTTCATTGATTTTTTTTTACATAATTTATCTTTTAAAAAAAAAATTAGATATGGCTTGTTCTATCATCATATCTTTATTGACTTTTTCTTACATAATTTATCTTAAAAAATTAAAAGGTAAATAAAAATAAAAATAAGAAAATAAAAAATCAAAGACTTAAAAAATGAAAATGAAAATAAATAAAAAATGAAAATAAAAATGAAAAAGAAATAGAAATAGAAAAAAATCTAAAATAAAAAAGTAAAAACCGATAAAATAAAAAGAAAATTAAAAATTAAAAGATATATAACGAAAGAAAAAAGAAAGGAAATACCAGGTGAACATCCCGATGATCTCAAAAGCCTACAACTTTCCTTCTATGGACATTATGTCTACAAAGAACCCATGCCTTCCTTCCAGTCCACCACACATGTATACTTAAGCCTATGATCAAATATAGGATCCAGCAAGTAAATTATTTCACGCCATTGGTAACAATAAGTAAACACGGAGCAATGACTATGCCATTGCACCAGTCAGTAGTACAACATACGAATGCCTATTGTTTGGATTTTCAATTTTTAATCTCACTGATCCTCTGTCGGAACGTTACTCAACTGACGACAGACATACCACTTAGTTTAGCATTGCACAAACAAGATCCAACTTGATGCAATACCATTCATTCGGGTTGAAGTAACAATGTGCTGTTACACACCTGTCCTCACTTGAGGAGCATATTTTATCAACTATTTCAAACTATCAAACCTACTCGTACAGAATTTAACAGATGATGCTCACAATTAGTTCAAAACAAAAGTTTTTGCATTTTTGGCTTCTTTGACAAACTGTGATGATGGTTGGTCCCCACTAAATACTTCCAAGGTTCTCAACTGAAAATTAGGCCAACAAATAAAGGCGCAGAACTTCAGCAACCATACTTTCTTTTCTTAGAACGCTTGCCTGATGGAAAAGAAACAACTGTATACCGTGAATTAAAAAGTTCCCGAGGAATAACTGCTCCAGAAGATTTTAAAATATCAACCAACTCTGGAAGCAAATTCTTATCCTCCTCATTCACGAAAACAATTGCCATACCCTCCTCCCCTAGTCTAGATGCCCTACCAATCTGATGGACATACTCCTTAATGGAACTGGGCATATCGAACACTATGACCTGTCTCACACCTAAAAGTTCAATTCCACGACCCAAAATTCCAGTGGACACAACTACTGAAACTTCTCCAACTAAAAACAATCTCAATATCTCCCTCCTTTCCTTCATGGACTTCTCCCCATGTATTGACAAAGCTTTAATTCCTGTGGTGACGGTAATTGCATTGGATAGGAGATCTGCCCCAGCTCTGGAACCCACATAGATCACAACAGGTGGCGTAAAATGTTTGCTCCTTAATATGTCAAAAAGCTTTTGCTTTTTTTGCTTTGACTCAACCCAGATAGCTAGCTGCTTCACAGCCTTACTTGGCCTGTTAGGCTTGCCAATAGAAACAGTAATAATATCTGTTGCCATAGAACTTGCTATTTTTTCTATATCTTGTGAAATTGTTGCAGAATACATCAGTACCTGGGGTTTTGATAAAGCCCTAAAAATCTGCATCACCTGGTCCCGGAAGCCCCTTTGCAGCATGCAGTCTACTTCATCCAAACCAAATATCTGTACATCATTTAGATCAATATCATGCTTTGTTAAAAGATCAATAAGCCTGCCTGGTGTTCCAACAATTAGTTCCACTCCTTGCTGAATTCGATAGAGTTGTCTAGCCATGGGATCACCACCAACCACAAGTGCAGTTTTGAATGGCAAACCTTTTCCAAGTGTCTTGGCTTGGTCCTCAACTTGGATACATAGTTCCCTAGTTGGTGTTAAAACCACTGCTAATGGCTTTCTGTGATTTGAGAAGTTGTTAAGGACAAAATTTGCACAAACAGAAATAATAGGAATCAGAAAGGAAGCAGTTTTCCCTGAGCCCGTGTCAGCTGAAACAAGCAGGCTTTTGCCATTCAAGGCAGCTGGGATTACTTGCATCTGGACTGGTGTTGGCATGCCATATCCTGCAGTTTCCATATTTTGTAGGAGTTTCTGAGGAAGACTACAGGAAGAAAATGCCAATACTGGAGCAGGAATCACATCTCCTTTTACATAGATTTCAAGTTTCTTTCTAAGCAATTCTGCTTGATCACAAGTTAAAGATGGAAACCCTGATTTATCAACAGAATCTCTAACATAAAAGCACTCATCAGTAGCAGGTAATCTTTGAATAGATGAGGGGCCAACTGGCACCACGGAGTTAGCAACCCTGAATAGTAGAGTTTGTTTACATTCCAAGCTACATATATCATCATCTGTCTCATCACATATATACTCACCATAGCGCCCACAAATAACACATTTAGGTTCCTCCAACAGAGCGTCTCTCTGGTCTGTAGAATTCTTTTTAATGTCATTATCTGCATCATAGATGGAAAATTCAATGTGGTAAACAGATAAGTTGAGCTTACAGTTCCAAGAAGCAAACCAGAAAAAGCAAAAAAAAAAAGGGACATGAAACGTCCGTAACCAATCAATTCTTACAATGAAAAAGGTCACTCAACATGCAAAACTGAAGGTTTGCAAACAGAACAAACAAGGAACAGGTAACACAAAACCAATGATGAAACATAATAAAAAACAGTAATGGATAGTTTAGGGTATATTTGGGACGTTTTTGTTTTCATTTTTTTAAACTATAACAAAAATTGCGTTTGGTGGCCATGTTTCGGTTTTCAAAATAAAATAAAATAAAACAAAAACAAAATTTGGAAATTGTTTGAAGCAAAAATTTGATGTTTTCAACCAAACGGATAAACAGTGACATGTGGCTACATTAAAAAAATAAGTAGAAAATGTCAAAATTGAATGAAAATTGTAAGCACAAAAAATTAAACCCTTACAACTCTCCTAATTAAAAGTTCCAACCACTTTGACTTATGTACTATTGTTTTAAAATTACTGCAACAAATACATAATAACCAAACATATTAAATTTAAATAAATTGAAAATAAAACAAAACAAAAATTTCTGAAAACATAAAACATAAAACAAAAAAATGGCAACAATCCTAAATGACCCCTTAATTACAATTACAGACAATAAACAAAAAATAAGCTGAAGAAGTGAAGCTCTACAAAGCAAAATAAGGTTGCCCACGTGCTAGAAATATGCAGCAAGAATCAACAGAAAAATAATTTATCAAGTCAAAAGTGGAGTATAATTACCGATCCCTTGATAAACATCTTTTTGTACGGCTAAACTTTTGCAAGGACCATTCCCATTTCCATCCTCCATGATTTAAGTAGATGAAAAAGACCTAATTGATGGAATTTGAATCTTGAAACATGGTGTAAGGTAGAAGAAAAAAGAAGAAAATTGCAGTCAGCTGTTTGCGAAGAGCAGATATGGATTCTTAAAACCCAATGAAATGTTTGCAAAAACGCAAAACAAAAAATCAAAGACATTTGCAAATGGCAATTCCACATCAAAGAAGATTATAAAGAATTTATTAATATAAAACATTAAAATGAAAACTGAAGAAAGATGTGTAACAGAAAATGTGGAGGCATGTATAGTAATAGTGAAATGAAGTACAAATACAACAACAACTACAAAAAAAAAAAGGAAGGGCGACTTGTACAATCTGCATGGTAAATGATTAAGCAGCCATTGCCCATAATCGTGTTTCCTCAATCAATCTTGAGCAATAATGTACAGGATAGAATTCAACATTTTTTATTCTTATATTAATATTATTAGTATTTAATAAGTAATTAACATCAAAATCAATAATTTGATAAAGGCAAAATAAATTAAATAAGTTATGGGTTGAGGATTATGCGGAAATATACGAATCAAGATTGACAAGATGTAAGATGTTCGCAAGCTAAAGGCTAGAAATTTATTTCCAAAAAAAAATGAAAACATATTCTAGTATTATTAAGAAGTAAAGAAGGAAGAAACGCGCGTACCAAAATAAAGGGATTCTGACAAGGCCTGTTTTTCAGCTTTCAACTATGGAGATTAGGGGGCTCAGCCTTTCTCCTCTTCTGGAGTCTGCACTCTGCGCCTTGGAAACTTACCATCAGGAATTGGAACAAACCAAATCAGGAAGACAGACAGGAGAACTGGCCAGCCTCGTCAAACCCACACATAAACTACTGCCAACCTAATGGATTTATTTATTTCTGTTTTGTAGTGTAAAAACTACTGAGCCCATGCTAACAAGGGCCGAATTACATTTTCTTCTATAGCCCAATTGCGCTACCCATTCTCGGATCGTAAATTCCTAAAATTCCTCAAGGAGTCTATATAATAATCTATAATATCCACAGAGCATTAGTATACACACTAGATTTAATTTACAGAAAAAGCTTGGTGGTTTGGATTTTGAAACGAAGTCATTAATAAAAAAATTGGACAATATATGTCTATATATATATATATATATACACACACACACAAAATAACTATGAATGCGATATTATGGTATTTAGTTTTATTATATTATATCATTCGTAATAGTTAAAATTTTATGTAAAAAGATCAAGTACTTATTTTTAACAAACTTGTATGAATATATTTTTGTAGGATAAAGTTTTTTTTAAAACATAAACAATAAAGTTTAACAATCTTTAATATAATTTACATAATCATTCAAGTCTATAACATAATAAAGATAATTAATTAAAAAAAAAAAACAACTTCATGAATTTTGTATAAGTTTTTCCCTTCTTAAAAGGCCATCTTTCCTTCCCTCCCTTTCTTTTTCTCTTTCAAATCTGGTTGGCAAACTTGAAAAGCAAACAAATTGAAGGTTATCACTGAAGATCTTCTTCCTGAAAATGAATGCAACATATCCATATAATTAATTGAACTTAAGTTGTTTGAATGTATTAGTCATGTTATGTATATTGCCTATTTAATGATAGTATATCAGTAAGATGTTGTTCTTACCTTCTCATTAAATGTTTATTTTAAGCAGGTGCCTTGCCTTTCCTATTTAACAAAACAATAAAGAGCATTATTGTATTAATTTTTTTTTTCAAATTAAATGGTTTAATGATAACTAACCTTGTTCTTGGTTTCTTAGCTAGTGAATCCTCACTAAACAAATCAATTGGAATGGCAATGTCTGTTGTTGAATCGGATGCATCTTTAAGCAATAAATCTTTATCTTTATTTTGTGAAGACTTTGCAAGTGGCAGCATCAGAATGGGTTCTTTTGTTCCAGTTTCATTAGGTTGGAAAATAATGCTAATGGAGTATTGAGGTTCTGATTTTTCAATGGCATGCCTTGTGAAGGAAATCTAAAAAATCTTTTTTGTGTTCTTTAATTCTTTTAATGGTTTAAGAAGTGCAAAAGGGTTTCCATTTGTCATGGCTATCAGACAAAATAATTTACCATTGCTGCAGTCAATTCTAGTTGTAGTAATTCTTCAATTTTTTTCTGTTCTTTCTTTTCTCATTTTTCTGTGAAAGTCATTGAATGTTGAGTTGTAAAAGCTACTATTTATTTCTTAAACTGATGCACCTGTTGGTTTTGTTTCAAATATAGTCTAAACAATGCAATAACTTTTTTGTAAACTAAATATAATTTATGGATATGTGTAATGAACTTGTTCTTTAATTCAACTGCTTCGGGAATATTAGGATCAGTTATGATTCTTGAAGCTAAGCAAGTTGAAATGGATATCTAGCTTGTATTACATATTAATTAGGATTAGACTAAAAAATAGTTTGATAATGTTTTAGATTAATTTGTTAAAGATAGTGATGAAACATACTTACCCATGAACTTTGTTACAATCATTGATGCAAAGAGTTTGATATGGCTTTCTTGATTACCTACAAATTATTCATCAGAAAGTTGGTTTGCAAACTCTCCCTAAAATGTCACCCAAATGATATCATTCCTATCAAATAAATGTGACAATCAATCATATTAAGCAAACTATGTTATAGTTAACAAAACATTTTAAAGAGATGTACTTTGAGATTTTAATTTCAAGGTTCCTTTTTTCAACTTCCTCTGATTTGTCTTCAACAAAGGTTTTTCCAACTTTCCCAATGCTGATGACAATACCAATTACATCTGTATTTGAAAAATAAATGGTTTTACATGGAATCAATTGGATTATCATAATAGTAATATATATTTTTGGTGTTTTTAGAAAATTACCTAATAGTACTTCATATTTTTTATTTTTGGCCTCCAACTTGTTAACGTTGGCAAAATTGTAATGGTATGCAAGGAAAACAGTAGGTATCTTGGTTGACTTCACTACCTTTGTGGTTCTAACAAAATTAATTGTGTAAAGATTGGGAACCACATTATAGTTTTTTTTTCTTTGACTGATGTAAAAGTTGGAAATTAGGAAAACTTCATATTTCTTAAGAATTTTTTCATATGTTGGCATGTTAGCTGGTTTTATGATTCCTTGAATGGCATTGTTCTGTTTAAGAATGGAAAGTTTCATTACAATAGTGCATTAGTTAGCTATATTTGAAATGATGATGCAACTTAGCTGCTTGAAATTAAATCTTTAACGATTAAGATATTGCTATGTTTCTGTTAAGTCTAATCTAAATTTAATTCAAGATGTAATTACTAATACATAAAGAACACAGTATAGATCAGTTTGCAAACATTCAAAGATATGTTTTGGTTTTTTATTAGATTTTAATAGGAAGTGATTTAACAAATGGTCATAGTTATGATAAAAAAAAACAAATAGTTAATAATTTACCTGCTCATCGATTGTAAGGAAGTCATGACCAATAAGGAAGTTGTTTGCTTTTAGGTTGATTGACTTCCATATCTTGAGTATTTGCCCTTAATCATATATTTTTGGGTTTTGTTGTTAAATTTAGAGATTAAGAGGTATGCCATTCTTCTGATAACCTACGTTATAGTTATATGCATCAGTACATGTATCATTTATAAGTTAGATTGTAACAATAGTTATTATAAAACTAATAACATTTATACCTGTAACAAATCTTCAAAGATTTCATTTTATATACATGTGTTGCTAGTATACTGATATAAAAATAGTTTTCTATTATGCACTTCTATTAAGAAACCTGTTAAACAAAAAATTATAAGAGCTTCTATCAGTTAGAGTGTTAAAATAGCTATTCAATCATGAACTTAAAATTGTTTTCAGATATTATTTACATATAAAAAATTTCATGAATCATAAACTACATCAATTTTTAAAACATTTTCGTATGATAACTAATAACATTTATACTTGTAATAAATTTTCAAGAATTTCATTATAGACAACTTTTGTTTGTTTTATTTCTATTGCATTCCACTTCATGTTCAATCAAAATTTTAAGTTTTTTTATAAGTAATTTTTTAGAGTGCAACATAAAACTGTTTATTATTGAAAATAGGTTTAGGTAAGTATAGTCCAACAAAATCTAATATTTGCCTTTGATTTTTATTGATAGTCATAGCATATATCAATCTAATAGGGAATTGTTTTCTTTTGAAAACAAATGACCATTTTTGCTCTTTAGCTATCATTACTATTCTTAGAATGAAAACTTTTTCCTCTATGTTGCTGCCATTAATGATTCTACTTTCAATGACATTGCTAGCTAACTGTGTGACTATAAGTCTAGTTATATTACAAAGGCCTAAACTCTAATTGATATTTTGTAAAAGCATGATAATTGAACTTTTTTTCAAACTAAGTTCATGATTTGGAATACCAAGAAAAGTTAATGAATTAAGGAATTCAAGTGGGTATAGCAAATCGTCATTTGTTGTGTAGCTGCATTCTAAAGATATCAAATCAAAACAGAGAAAAGTTTTTAATTCTCCAAGCAACCAAGACAAAACATGCTTGTTAATTATGTCAATAGTCTCATTGTATGGTGTAATAACAACTCTTTGTTTAAGGTATGTGTCATTAGCATAACTAGTCAAGAAGCTATCATAAATGGTATAACATATAGCTTGGATTGGTCATTAGCATAACTAGTCAAGAAGCTGTCATAAATGGTAGAACATATAGCCTGGATTGGATCATTTATATAAGAAACTAAGAGTTTTTTAGGTATTTCTATCTCATCAGACATGTATTCATGTTTTTTATTTGAAACTTTGGTCGTCCCATTGCCTATATCAAGCAACCATTTAGCAAAATTAGCTATGTTCTTTCGTTTTTCATCATCAATTGTTTCTCTGAGAAGCCTCATGTTGACTCTCAACCAGAATACTATATAATTGTTCCACAAATTTGATTTGCTAATGCTAGCATTAACAATGTTCTATTATGAGCCAATTTTCATTACTGGTAAAACTTGCCTGAAATCACCACCAAGCACAATTGTTTTACCGCCAAAAGGTTTTGAAGCATTTTTAGGATCAATGTCAGATATAATATTCTTTAGTGATCTATCTAATGCTTCAAAATACTGTCTATGCATTATTAGAGCTTTATCCCAAATGATTAATTTACTGGCCTTTACTAATCTTACAAGCTGTATCCTTTATTAATAGCACAGGTTGAAGTTGTATCATTTGTCAAAGAAATTGTGAACCTAGAATGGGCTGTCCTTCTTCCATATAACAATAAAAATGCAATACCTGATGAAACGACAACAAGAACAATATCACATTTTGCGTGAATACCCGAACTAATTGTTCTTCATAAATAGCTTTTTCTTGTTCCACCATGTCCGTAAACAAAAAACATTTTTCCTTCATTATTGTTTACTAATTGCATAACTACATCATGTATATATCACTGCTCTTCATTTAAGTTACCTAGCAATTCTTCATACTCTGATTATAGTTCAGGCAAACAATGGCTAAGCTCTTCTAGTATTAATCGATCACTGAAATTTAATATAGAGGATTGTGATGGCATTGGTAAACTGTACTCAACCAATGAGGAACAATTCCTATTAAAAAGGGTCTCTAAAGCAATTAGAACTTGTTCTTTAAGGTAATCATCTGGAACCTGAGAATTAGGCATTTGAAAAGATTTTCGAAGAAGGTATTCAATATCCTCAAACGTTAGTTTCAGGTTGTTTTCTAATAAGCTTAATCGATCACTTACCTCATAGAACATTATCAATGTTAGGAATAGTTGTCTCATTTCTTAAGCTGTTGCCCATTGAGAAGCTTGTACCATTGCATATTCCCATTCTTTATCATGTCCTGGCAAGCCAAAAGCATTACATGTAAGTAGGAAACTATCATATCTAACTCCATCAATTGTTCTTAAATCTTCATAACTTGTTGCACCTTTTATGACATTAAAAAGTAAACGAAGTTAATATAATTCATTGGCAGTATGGTGAACAAAAGATATTCTGTCAATAGATTATCCACTTTTTCTCTCTGACCATAGTTAATTGGTATAGTGCCAAACCCACTTAGTTGGAAATTCTGCATAAGTAAGAGATCTAGCATTTTCAAACTTTTTGTTTGTTTCCGTCCATTCTGTAAATATTGTTCTTTTTACTCCCAGCCTTTAAAAGACATCAAAAAGGTTATCATTATCGTTTAATGCAATAATTTGTCTCCCTAGTAAATGTATCAAAAGCCTTTGGACAGATGTTTCTCTATAATTAATTGGAAAGTCCATCAATCTCCAGCAAGCTTCATTGTTTTTGGTTTGTCTCAAATTATAACTTAATGCTACAAAGAACTTTACCAACCCTTTAAGTTCTCTTCCAGCATCTGATCTGCTCTTGGCTCCACCTGTTAGCGTAGTTGCTGCATACGCAGTCACAATGCAGTAAAAGTTGCTGACTTCTTCACCATTTTCACAATTGAACAAATCAAGGAAGCTGCAGGAAAAGTGAAGGTTTGAATCACTTCTCCGCATTAAACTAGTTGTCATCATAATCATTCAAATTGACCAATTGCAAAGTTCCGCTATTGTAAAGTTCTTCAAAAATTTACCCATATAAATAATTTCTACCTCTGTCTTTTCCTAGCAATACTCTGCGCCATAAAACTTCCATCGATCGAGAGTTCAATATAACTTCATATATGCCTCTTTTGATCTTAATTTCTTTACTAAAATCTTGCTCTCAACAGCCAGTGTTTGGAATTCAAGAAAACAACAGACTTGCAAACATAAAGCCAAGTCTAAGTCCGCATCAATTTCCGTTGCCTTGGCAATTTCCATTTCAATTTCTTTAATGTATTTGCTGAAAAATATTGGCAGCGCTAGCAGAAGATTCTTCTGTTACTGCCAATTCAAAGTTAGATCTTGATAATTCATTGCTTCTGTTTCAGGTGATGTCAAACAAGAATTTAATTTATTTTTTTAATATTAAGAGATGCTTATGTAACCTAATAGATACATGTAAATATCTATAGTTGTGCATGTGGACAACTGTCTGTGGATGTGTGAATGTCAAGTGAGTGTACTCCCCACTGCATTTATCTCAGTGAAGGACTAATTTGCAATCTCCTCTTTGACAGGAAATGTTGAAGGATTTGGTGAAATGGAAAGCTAAAATTGAGCAACAGCTGATGGAAATTTCACGTACAGTTAGTGCTATGCAGACATCGGAAGTAACTCCTTTTTTCTTCGAAATTACTGGAACATTCAGTTTCAATCCCCCAACGCCCCTCCCTACCAGGCCTGCCTCTTCTATTTTATCTCCTTTTTGTCCTCGATGTATAACTTAGACTCTTATCTCCTTTTTGTCCTCGATGTATAACTTAGATTAACAGAATTTAGATCTTGTATAGGACTCAAACACTGAAGCTGAGCTCCTACAGTTCGGATACAATGGATCCTTTTCCCCATACTTGTTTATCATGTGCATAGAGAGTTCCTTAACCTCCAAATCCAGTAAGCGTATGAGGATCATAGATGGTTCCCAAGTAGAGCATCAAAAAATGGCCTGGCTTTCTCCCATATTGTCTTTGGTGATGATATTATCCTTTTTGTTGGGGCGGACAAGCAAACAGCAGAAACAATGAGGGAAGTCTTAAATATGTTCTGCTAAGAGTTAGGTCAGAAGGTGAGCCTCGAAAAATCAAGAGTCTTCTTCTTGCCTAACACGAACCAGAACAGGAAACACGAGATTGTTAACTATTTGCAGATACGAGAAACTGAAGACTTAGGGAGATATTTGGGCTTTCCCGTTCATAAGAGTAGGGTGAGTAAATAGGATTTCATGTTCATTGTGGGTAAAGTTCGCGCTAAACTAAAAGGGCAGAAAGCCAGCCTGTTTTGGAGATCATACCTACTATTAAATGCAATGCCGGGCTCTCCGAACCAGCATTTGTAATGAACTCGACCTGATTAACAGGAGCTCTTTATGGGCTAATACTGAGCAAAAGCATAAAATCCACCTTTTGAATTGGACGGAGGTTACAAAGAACATGAGAATGATGGTTTGGGATTAATGGAAACCAGCTAAACCAAGCCCAATTAACCAAATTAAACTGACGATTGTTTATCAAAGGGAGGCATTATAGATAAAAACCTTTCATGCGAAATACCTGATCCGGACAACTACTAGTAACTCTCATGGTTGAACCTCAGTGACATGGAAAGCAATGCGATGGTCGGGTTCTATTCTTGAGAAATGGTTGAGATGGATTATCCGGGATGGTTCAAATGCCAAGTTCTGGTATGACAAATGGGTTGGGTCAGAGACCACTAGAGAAAATTCAGGGGCCTTTTCGCGGAGGGATGAAAGCGAGCCGAGTGATGCCCTCACTACCTTCCACCTTCAAGGAGATGTCCCAATATCCTTTTTTCTGCCCACTGGTGTTATGGATTCTATACGGACAGTGCCTACACAGATTTTTGGGCTGTGACAAGATGTAGTCTACTGGACTGCATCCTATAGTGGCCACTTCACTATTAAATCAGCTTATGATTCGGGATGGGAATGGATTTGGAAACCAAAAATCCTTCTCAAACTCCAGTATTTCCTTTGCGAATGCATGCATGGAATTCTTCACACTAAAGAGTGCGTAGTCCGGAGGGGATTGAACCTCCAAAATATGTGTCTTTAGTAACTAAGAACCTGAAAGCATGGACCGCCTCTTCATGGACTGCCCATGGACAAAGCAGATTTGGGTGGAACAGACTGGTGTTATTCAATGGCCGCCCAATAGGACACTCAAGGACTGGATAAAAAAGAACGCCACAAACAAATCATCGCTCAAGTCACCATGGCATCCCTTGGGGTCTATTATTTACGCATCTATTGTGGGAGATTTGGCTTGAAAAAACCTTAGTCTTTAAGGGTAATGGAACCAATATTGATGTCGTTCGTAAGGCCGTGGAGAAAGCACTGGAATTCTTTGCCATGAACTGGGATGTCCATAGGCATACTCATACCGTACTATGCCTATCAAATGGAACCCCCTGCTGAGAGATGGTTTAAACTGAACACCGATTGGTCCTAGCTGGGTAATTCCTGAAGATCAGGTGCAGGAGCTTTAATCAGAAACCATGAAGGAAAATGGATCCAAGCTTATCCAGATTCATTGGGTGTGGGACAAACATTTTAGCTGAACTATGGGCGCCTAGAGATGTTATCCTAGCGAAACATCTTCATATCACTAGGCTGGAAATTGAGCTCGACGCTGTTGCTATTATTACTATGATCAATAGTAAATCTAGACTTAACCCTGTTTTGCTCTTGCAAACTTTGGTTTATGATTGCAGGAAGTTGTCGCAAGATTTTAGCTGTCAGAAGATCTTGCACGTGTTTAGGGAAGGCAACAGATGCGCTGGTATTAGGAATCCATGCAATTTTCTATGTTGTGAACCCTTTTACGTGATGTATCAGGTACCACCGACTTTCTTAAGCCCCTGATTAGTGCTGATGGTGCAGGGTGTATTCTGTATTGAACCTCTTTTAATTTATCAGCTATGATAGTTCCCCTTCGCACCAAAAAATTTAAAGCAAATGCCAAATATGTTTTTCTTTACTTAGTAGTACAATTTATGTTAATAACTCTTATTTATCCTTTTGCATTCATTTCTACGAAATCTATAAAGCAGAATGCATTGATTTTCTTTTCGTTAAAAAGAGAAAACTCAAAGAGCTGACATGGTACGTTCATATATAGTTGTACTTGTCTATATTCTCATTGGGGCCAGGCCACGCCAATCCGCTATTTTGCAGGCGAGTTCAATATGTCTAGATGGATGCAGTGGCCTTAATCTAGCTAAACCATGTACAGCAACCAAAAACTTTGCTGTCAGATCTTCCTCCTCGTATAAAATTAAAAGCACACTCCTACGCTCATACATAGCTAGACGCTCCTTTCCAACATTTCCTGATGTCTCTTCAATGACTGCTGCTTCTGCATCTTCATTTGACGATGGAACCTCCTTATGAACAAGTCAGCTACTATGTCTATCTCGTCTTCTAGCCTGAACTCCTCCCCTTTGTCTTCTTTTGAGTTCTTCAATAAATCTATCACTGACCCGCCTGGATGCTCAAACTCCATTTCTTCCAAGTCGGAAAGTGAGTGAGTGAGATCTGGGTACTTGTCTTCCATCTCCTCCTCATCTTCTTCATCATACTCCCCTTTCGCTTGCAGTTGCAGTTGCAGCTGCAGCTGCGGCTCCGTCTCTGTCTGTGTTGCACATGCACTTGGGAGCCTGCACATAGCATTATTACTATTGTAAAGTAAGATTTCTTGGCTTTGGCTTTGCTGATCTCCAAGTATACCAACAGCATCGTCTTCTAATTCTTTGTAGTTTTTGTCATTCTGCCCCATCAAGGCGTTCAGCTTCTGGGAGATGGAGCTCATCAAAAGCTTCTTGTTTTGAAGCAAGGAAAATATGACAAGGCGAGTCTTTATGGCTTTTGTTTTGCTCTTGAAAGCCAGGGTTTTGGCCTTGGCCATTGCGGTTAAAGCTGTTATTATCTGCTTCAAGAATCCTGATGCTTTGTTCCTCATTTTCGCAAGCTGAAATACTATTCCTAGACTTCCCTTGGAAAGAAAATAATGATTAAGATGACTACGCTGTTGAAAACAAAAAACAAAATTAATCTTGCTGTGAGAGAAACTGTGATAGGAGGGATAGCTGAAGTAATTAAGGGACGAGATACAGGGAAGTCAATCGGAGTATACTGGCAATTGTACCGTTGAGAAGGAAAGAAGTGTTTTGGCACCGAGCGGAGATCAAGAAGGAATTATATATTAATGGTTAATGGACGATGCCTTGGCTTTTAATTTGATTGGATTTTGCTGTGGCTTGTGAGGAAACAGAGAGCACCGGAGAGAGAAAGAGTGGATGCTAAGGAAAAGAAAAAGACAACAAAAGCCATGAAAGTAAAGTGAAAGTAAAAAGTGAAAAGCTAAGGACAAGTGGCTCCATAACACAGGTTTGAAGATGGTTAGGTGGCTTTCGCAGCTGAAAGTTGTGACAGGAAGTGGTAGGTTCCAATAGAATTTGTTTTTGTTACACTAGTGGGGAAGAGCTGGCAGCTGGCTTCTCCTCTAAGATTTGTTTGATTTTCACCTATACCGAGAAAGTAAGCGAAAGATTCGCTAACTGGGAAGCTTTTCGTCGGTGCGAGGACAATTAAGGACTTACCACAACAACGAGCTGTTGCTCAATCATGGGCTTTTGCCCACCCCCTTAATTAGTCCGTTGCTACATTGCCCAAAAGGCAAAAGCACACGTCAAGATTAATTTTTTATTTTTTCATGCAGGCTACTCTTACTCTCGAACATTGTCAGTATTTACATCGTAGAATATATTTTTTACGTTTTATTTTTTAATATCTCAAAATTATGTTTTTCTAACATTTAAAATTTTTATTTTTTATATTAAAAATTATTAAATTTTAATTCTATTAAAAAATTTAAAATTTTATATTAAATACATTCAAAATAATTTTTTAAAAATTTTTATGAAAATCAATAACATCAAACAATTTGAGATGAAAAAAAATTATCAAATGATATATATATATATATATATATATATAAGATTTCTTACTGTGCGCAGTGACGTAAAGCGGTTCTTTAAATATTACTAGTAGTACTTGTATATATGGAATTTAATTTAGGATTTAGCTTAATTTATTGATCGTGGATTTGTGGATTGTGAGGGTGTCCTAATTCTCGTTCTAATGACAGAAACAACCATAGACTACTTGACTTCTGCTTTTAACTTTAGTGCTTACCAAAAAAAATTTTAAGTTATTCGGAAGTAACCTAAATTTAATTTGATAAATATTTAAATTTGTTTCGTTTATTATCCAATCAAATTTAGCCTAAAATTGTTTCTGTAATGAGTTCAAATTATTTAAATAATAATTTAAAATAATTTTAAAATTTTAAAATTTTAATTTAAAAGATTCAGAAATTTAATCAATCAACCTTAAATTGTTTAAATTATTATAAATTAAATTTACATATAATAAATAAACTTAATTAAATTTGGATCGCACTTCAAGCCTCAAATTTTTAAATCAATTGGAGCTTGAACTTGATACTGGATTAATTCGAAACCACATCACAACAAAAGCAAAGGCTGAAGAGAGTTGAGAAAGAATAGCTTGCCTAGATGCTAATTCAGTATTGCTCTTTTCTTTTGTTTTATTTAATTTTTTTATGTCATGCTATTGCCTTTTGTAGAAAATATGATGAAATATCAATAATACTATTTTTGTATTTTTATTAAATTTATTTTTAATTTTTTTAACTTATTTTTAATTTTTTTATTAAATAAATTTTTTCACTAAATTAATAAAGTTAAGGATGATAAAATAATATATATTCGATTAATTTTAATTCGTGCCGATTTAACATAAATATTTTTTCTAAAATCAAGATTGAATCGAATTTTTTTTTTTTTTGAAAACAAGATCGGATGGAAAATGGATTTAAAATATTTTGTCATGTCTCAAGTGTTCACGTGGCACATTTTTAATTTTTTAAAGCTTTTTTAACTTTTTTTTTCTTTTTTCTTAAAAACTTTTTTTACAATAAATTTTATAATAAAAAGTTAATTGAAATAAATATGATAAAATAACCTATATCTAATACGTTTTGATTAACCCCAATCCAATTAGAGCATTTTTTTTTATTTCGAAATAATTGAGTTAAATTTTTCTTAAATCAAGTTCAGACCATAGTATGGTTTTTAATGATATGCATTGGTCTTAGTATATATAAAAATATATATTATTATTTATTTAATTTTATATTTATATATTATTAAAAATATATATTATTTAATATCTTAATTTAATAAATTTGCGTGATATCTCATTCGATTTTTTTTGTTATTTTTTAAAATTTTATTTATTAAATAAATTTTGTAAAAAAATCAATGGATGTAGGGAAAATAAAATAACATATATTCAATAAATTTCGATTTGTCACTAGTCAATCGATGTAGTTGTTTTTTAAAATAAGAATCGTGTTAAGTTTTACCTATTTGAAAAATTTGAATCAAATCGAGATCGTATTTAGGATGCTTTGTCCTAACTCTCCTCAAGAGATATATATATATATAATAGTATATTTTATTATTTATTTAATTTATATTTATATGTATTATATTAATAAAGATATTATTTAATACCTTACTTTAAGAAAAATTACATTTATATATAATTAAACTATAATTTATATTAAAATAAATACACTTATATTTGTCTACATGTTGTTATCCATTAAAATTTGATATAAAAATTTACTTCTCTTATATTTAAAAAATAACTTAAGAATAAAAAATATTCACACAACGAAGCACAATGTAGTTATAGTTTATATAATTAATTTTATAGAGAATGGAATAAGGAAAGGGTGTCCATGTGCCATGTGGCACCCTTCCCTTCCTTCAAAACTTTACTTTTTTTAATTTTTGTTATTTTTATTTTTTTTTACTTTTTATTTAGTTTTTAAAATTTTATTTTTTTATAAAATAAATTTTGTAAAAAAAAAAATTAATGAAAATAAGGATGATAAAATAATTTGTATTCAATTGATTTTAATTCATATCGATCCAACGTATGTGCGTTTTTTTTTAAGAAATCAAGACTAGGTTAAGTTTTTTTTTTTTTTTGAAAATGGGGTTGAATTAGAGACAGATTTAAGTTGTTTTGTCTCGTCTTAGGTGTTCACATGGCACATCCCTCCTTTTTTTTCATTTTTTTTTTTTTTAAAGATTTTGATTTTTTAGGTTTTTTAAAATTTTTTAAAACTTTTCTTATTAAATAAATTTTGTAATAAAAATTTTAATTGAAATAGAGATAAAAAAATAACTCGTATCTCATGGGTTTTGATTCACCTAATCTAATTAATGCACATTATTTTTATTTGGAATAATTAGGTTTAGTTTTTTTCTCTTTTAAATCGAGCTCGAATAAGAGGAAGATTTTTTGTGTTATGCAGGTCCTAGCATAAATGTATATAATATTTTACTATTTAATTAATTTTATATTTATATATGTATTTTATTTAAAATATTATTTAATATTTTAATTTAATAAAGTTATGGGTCACCTTATTTTGCTTCTTTTTTAATCATTTTTTTATTTTTAAAAATTTTTTATTAAATAAATTTTGTAAAGAAAAGCTTAATAAATATAGGGATGACAAAACAACTTATATCCAATAGGTTTCAATTTGGTACTATCCAATCAATATGATTTTTTTTTTAAATAAGAATTTAATTAAGTTTTACATCTTTGAACAATTTTAGGTCAAGTCAGGAATGGATTTGAAATGTTTTACCTCAACCCTTCTCTAGATATATAAAAGAATATATTTTATTATTTATTAAATATATATTTATATATATGTAAAAGATATTTTAATAATATATTAAACGTGATCATATATCACAAATAATACAAAAAACTTACTTGATTTACGAAGGCACAACGAAAGCATTGTTGCATAAGTGTTGCAAAAACAATGTTGACTTGATTAACTAGTCAGGAACATGATTACGCATTCAAAAATTATCCATTATCCATTATCCATTATCCACAACGTAAGTCTTTAAACACCAAAGCATGAGATTTCTCGAAGAATTTTCTTCTTTATACTGATATCTCTTTTTCTTTCTTGTTCTCTTTGTGACTTCTCACATAGCCCCACATGTAGTAGATTTCTCATACTTAATTTGGATGAACATATTCATCCTTCTCTTGTTTCTCATCAATGTATGTGAATTTTTGAAAAATGGAAAATCCACATTTCATCTTTTTCATATTATTTTTCTATATGGTTGAATACCATATCTTATTTTTATATGGCCAAAAACGTATATTATCATCAATGTATGTGATGAAATATTGACATTCACTATGTGCTCTTATATATATTGGGACAAATATGTTGGAATGTATCAATTGCAATGAAACTTCAAATCTTGTTCCTTTATCAAATGATTTTTTTTGTTAGTTTCCATGATAGATAGTTTACACATAATGATTGATTAACCTTATTATGTAGGGCTTTGTAATGCTTCTTTTGTGAATCTATCCATTATTTGTTAACCCATATGACCAAATCTATCATGCCACACATTCACATTAATATTAGCATAAAAAAATTATTTAACAAACATCCAAATCCATTCTAATTTATTTTCTAAAATAAAATCATATCAATGTTATTAAAATTCATAACAAATCTTAGATAATGAAGAATAGTGACAAAAACTAAATTCTTTTAAATATCAAGAGCAAACAAGACATTATGTAGAATGAGAGTTTTTTCACCATACACATTTAACTTGTAGGCGCCAACCCCTTTATTTTAATCCTTTGATTGTTTTCTACATAAATATATTTTGCTCATGTTTCACGTTATATGGTTTATGGCCCTTAAGTATTTTTTGTCTTATTACATTCACAAGTAAAATAACTATCATTACCATAGTTAATGCACTTAACTTTAGTTTTGTTATTCTTAGATCGAGCCTTGGGATCATTCTTTTTGCCACTTTGACTATTTTTTGATCTTTTAGGAGTTTTTTCCTTGTTCCTATTATATGGCCTGCGCTTAAAGCCTATAGCTTCCTTTGAACATATATATGCTATATACACATTAGTACTAGGTTCAGATGCTTCTTATACAATATTTTTTTAATTAAAAATGACAAGAATTATCATTAAGAGTCTTTAAACTCACATTGTGGGTCAGGTGCACTTTCATGTGCTTTCAATTATATGGCAAGATTGAATTACAACTTAAACCTCTTGTTCATTTTTTAGAGTGTGATAAACATTTTTTCAAACAAATTTTGTTATCAAGGCACTCCACATATTTTTTAGCAATATCATGCTAGCTTAATTCACACATAATATCATTCTCCATATAGCTTAGCAATGTAATGTGAGTAATGGAGTTTTCTTTATCTAGGCTTCACAAACCTTGGTCTCTTTTATGTTAGGACATATTTCTATACTAAAGCTCCACTAAGACAATGCTTAGAATTTTAAAAACCTTTTGTTCTTTTAACATATACTCGATTTTCATATTTCAAATTTCATAATTATCCCTATTCAGTAATCATATACTTAAATACAAAAGTCTTATTAAAGGATAATTCAATATTGAGAGACCCATGCACTAATTAATGCCTAGTGTTACACACATCTATTTTGCCATAATCATAAATAAAGTAATGACAATCATTCACATAAAAATGAAACCAATAAGTCAATATGTTTACAATCAAATTTTCATTTTTAATGTGTTTAATCATCACTTATTCTGTTTCATTGTATAAAATTTATTATTCTAAAGTAACTTATTAATTAATACCTTAGAACTCCCACTAACTATAAGGTTACTTTCAATTAATAACATACAATAATTGAATTCATATAGACAAGTCTCACATAGCATGTTAAACACATAAACAAGTTCCATCAATAAACATACGTATTATTTATTAAACTATGTTCTCAATAAGTGTGCATCACTTGTCTAGTGATTAAGATGGAATCCATAAATTCTTATGACAGTTTCGCATTCTTATTAGCCATCCACAGAGATCCAAGAATTTTATGAATGCCATTGTAGAGACTTATTCACAATCAAAATTTCATTATGCAAAATTTATTATTCTGAAGTAACTTATTAATTAATACCTTAGTACTCTCACTAACTTTAAGGTTACTTTTCAATCAATAACATACAATAATTGAATTCACATACACAAGTCTCTCATAGCATGCTAAACACATAAACAAGTTCCATCAACAAACATACATATTATTTATTAAATAATGTTCTCAATAAGTGTGTATCACTTGTCTAGTGATTAGGATGAAATCCATGAATTCTTATGACAATTCTACATTCTTATTAGTCATTCATAAAGATCCAAGAATTTTATGTGTGCCAGTATAGAGATTTAGGCCAATAAAGAATGTCGTACTCTTTTTTACCACTTTCTTATAAAATTATAAATTTTTTTTTATCAAAGTTATAACATTAGGGTGTTTCTTCTCGTTAAACATCTTAAGATTTTTTAAAAGATCTTTGAAAAAGATTTTTTGTATAAATGTAAGGAGTGTTAGTTGTAAAGATTTATTTGTAAGTGGATTGAGTTTGGAATAGGCGATTTAGGTTGGACCGAAACAAATATATATGTGTATTCTTATTCTTATTTTGAGCTTGCTATTTTGTGAATAGATGCTGCGCGTTTGTATTGGTTTTTCAACAAGTGGTATCAAAACGAATTTTGAGATGTGGAAAGAGGAGAAACAAGCCCAGAAAATCGTGAAGACAATGCAAGTATTTTAAAATATCTAAAAAATATATGTCTAATATGCTTATGCTCAAGTTTGAGATTCTTTTATTTGATAGAAAAGATAATTTTATGTTATGATAGTACAATTCAAGATCTGTTAGTACAACAAAGATTAGATCAAGCATTAAAAAGTAGTAAGTCTAAGGAAAATGTCTTATAGTAATTAAAATAGAATTCAAAAGAAAGCTATTAGTACTAATAGATTGGCACTAGCTTCAAAAGTAAAGTACAATATATTGACTGAAAGTACTTTAAAGAGTTTATAAAATAAGCTTAAGATTATTTATGCATTGAAGTCATTGACTAACAAATTATGTTTAAAAATGTATCTATACTCTTTGAAAATGAAAAAAAGTACAAGTTTTCATAATCACTTGAATGAGTTTAATATGTTAGTTTCTCAATTGTTGGCTATTTCTATTGATGAGTTAGAAGATGAAGAAAATGCTTTAATTTTGTTGTCATCTTTGCCTAAGTTCTATAGACTTCTAGTTTAGATTTTGTTAGTAAGTATGTCTAGTTTGAAATTAGATGATGTGATTACTCGATTATGTGAGAACGATAGGTTTATGGGAATACAAAACTCATCACTTAGAAGGAGTACACTAACTGTGGTTATGATCGAGAGAGGACTCAATAGAAGTTAATGGATCAAGAGATCAAGAAAGAACTCAATAGAAGGTTGATAGATTAAAAATGAGCTCCAAATGAAAAGACAGAAATTACAATGATGTGGAATGTTATTATTGTGGTGATAAGAAACATGTCAAGAAGTTGAAAAGAGATGTGACTACTTTTAAAAGGGTGAATGATGAGAAAAAATGGGATGAAAAAAAAGTAATAATGTTGTTGTTATATATGATGATAATGAAGTCCTTTTGATGACTTATGTGGATGAAACTCTGAATTTGAAAGGTGATAAAGGTTAGGTTTTGATTCAATCGTTACAATCTATGTCTGCAATGATAGGAGTTGTTTTATAAAATTATAAGAAATTAGAAGTATGAGAATATTATAGTTGCCAACAATGAAAAGGTACAAATTCAAGGCATTGAGAGCGTTCGTCTGAGATCTCATAATGGTTTTGTTTAGACATTTCATCATGTAAAGTTTATACCAAGTTATAGATACAATTTGATTGTTTTGGGTGAGTTAGCTTCTTGTGGATATACATACTATGGATGAAATAATTGGTGCAAAGTGTACAAGAATGGTAGTATGATTCTATAAGAGAATAAAATCAAAAATCACTTGTACATGCTTGATAGAAGCTTAATTGTTGAGATTTCTATGACGAAGGAAAATAAGAAGGGCAAGCATGTCAACTTTGTAAATACTATTAAAGTGTTTGAAGATTCAAGTCAATGAAAAATTTGTTGAGATTTGTTTTAAATCTCTTAATTTTATATCAAAAGTTGAGTAAAGTTATAAAAGTTGAGAATTTATCTTGTATCCCACACAGAAAGTTCAGTAAAAATATAAGGGATTTCACTTTTATAAATAAAATGTTTTGGTTTTAGTTTGATAATATCGGATAATTAGACATCAAAAAAATAGCTAAGTAAATAGGCTATTAAAATTGTGTAATTGAATTTTGAGTTAAGTTTTGAATAAAGAATTTTTGATGATTTTTCTCATTTCAAAAATCTCATATTTGTAAAAATTTATTTATTAATGGATTAGATTTGGAGCAAATTATTTTGGATTAAATCGAAACAAATATATTTATGTATTTTTATTCTTCTTTTAAACTTACTTTTTTATGTATAGGTATTATACATGTATGTCGATTTTCCAACATTAATAACCTTCGGTCTTTTCTAATAAAAAAATGGGTTTGTTTTCGGTGAATTAATACTGCTAAAAAAGATAAAATTTCTAAAGTCTTTATTTTTTTTTTAATTTGTGTATCGAGAGATGAGAAACAACACAGTGAGGAAGATTTGAACCTTCCTTACCGCACTTTAAGGTTCCATTGAAGATTACAACATTGCTCACAAATTTAATTGTTTATCAATCTTCGGGTTTCAACGCCACAACCATGCATTAATCACAATTCATTTCCTTCATCAAATGTTAGTACCTCAGAAGCAACAGATTCCGAAAGCATTGCAATTGTTATTCTTGAAAGAAATGCATGAGAATTGATTACAAGATCAGGGCTCAGCTTTCATCTCCTGCTATATATATTTTTTATATCAAAAAATAAAAAAAATCTTAAGCATAATTTTAAAATATAAACAGTAAAAATTTTAGATATTAAAAAAACATAATTTTGACATAAAAAATGAAACAAATGAAACAGAAGGAATATAATATAATATTAATTAGTAATTTTTCCTCAGGCTTGCATAGCACTCAGCAGATTATGAAATAAAAATATGTGGTGGGTGCAATATCAAATTCCTTCAAATTGCACAATCTTTTTTTTATTTAATTTACAAATTGCACAACTTGGACAAGAGCTTTTTCTGCTTTAATTATAAATAATATATAGCGTCGACTAAAATCAGCTTGTTTTCGATGGTTCTAAAGTGTATGAACTAGAAATACATATATAATAATATTTTCTGAGCAGTGAGGCTATATTATTTAATAAGAAAATACATATTTTCTTTTCCATCAGGAAAAAAGAAAAAAACATTAACAGCTCAGTGATAGCAATTCAAAGTTCAAACATATTCTAGAATCTCCTAAAGGAGACCTCACCTGCCATTCCCACAGGATGACGAGTGGTTTCCCCCAGCTTGCCAACCGCTTGGCCACATCTCGAAGGGTAGGTTAGCCGAGCCCATCTGGGACCCATGTGTGCTGTAACCATGAGCACCCAAATAAGGGCTGGGGCCCCAAGGATTGGGCCCTGGAGGAGGAGGGTGGTAACAAGGGCCATGTGCCATGGGTGCAGGGGGAGGGGGAGGTGGCGGTGGCGGTGGCGAGAGCTGATAGTAAGCAGTTTGTGGCAGACAATAAGTTTCTTGGAACGGATCTTGAGTTCCAGATGATGAAGTGTGAAGCTGAGGTCCCTGGAACATATTTTCTAATTCTAGAGATGGATAGTGGACTTTTGGCGATTCGCTATGAACTTCTGATAAACAAAATTGAGTTTCAGGAGAATGATGATGATGAAATACTGGATAGCCAGCTATCTGGCTCGCTGGGGAGTCCGTCCGTAAACCTTGATTGTTTCCACTTACCATAAAAGAGAAATTCAATACTCCATTGGATTTGCCATCCGTAGTCCGGACCTCGTAAGTCACAAATCTAACAACTCCATTAGACTCTTGGATCAGATCCTTGAATAGCACATGAACTACTCCAATAGTTTTGTCTCCAAACATGACTCCTTCATGGCGCAGCTCAAAGTGAATAAAGACGTTATCGCAATCCTGAAACAAGGTCTTGCTCACTTCAAACCTTATTGTGTGGTTCCACTCGGGATTTCCATTCCCTTCTCTGTCAGTCGGTGTCCTCTGCTGCTGCTTCTGAATCACTTTCTTGTCATCCTCAGTGGCGAAAGAAACTAGGGCATAGACTGAGAGTTTCTGGAAGAAGTTGAATGCTTTCAGATCCTTACAGGAAATTACTTTAATTTCTATGAAGCTGGATTCCATGAAAATTTTTTTGACAAACTTCGGACAAACCTTTAAATTACTAGGTTGATGAAGGTTTCAGGCCTAACTGAAAACAAGTGGCAACTCTGAACGTAACTAAAGTGCATTTAGCAGAAAAGTCTTAATCCTTACGAAACTTCCCAACATCAAAAACACCCAAAAGATGCAATCCAATAGAGCAGAAAAATCTAAATATGTCTGCAACTTACATATACAGTCCCCAGAAGTTACCTGAGATGAATCCTGTATATCCCAACAGAGCTTGGATCCAAGGATAAAATAAAACGTCTCGTTATTGAAAAAAAGAAAAGAAGAAAGACGTCATGCTGTCAACATCTTTGGCGTCGACTCCAATAAGCCCACAACCAGTTTGCTTAGTCCCATATAGATTCGAAATTTAGTAACTCTTAATTCCTTTCAAAAGTTAGAAAACTTTTAGTTCAGAGTATCATTTTTCCTTTTGCTGGTTAGTCTTTTAAGGTCGAAGACCCGAGTTTTGGAAGAGCTACACCGGCCTTGCAGGACTTCTGAACCAGAGGGCCGAGGCAAATTATGAAATTTGGGCATTCTATGTTTAGCTGTAAGTCAAAATTCAAATTTGGGCATTTCATGTTTATTTAGACATACCAACAGAAAGGCCATCATTGAGGCTAATTATGCAATAGCCCTTCAGTCAGAAAGAATCCAGATGATCTGTCATTTTTCTCTTTCTTTCTTTTTTTTCCTTAAACCTGCGTTAAATACAGTCGGGTTTGGAACCAAGGCTCAACAGCTTACCTGAGTCCTGCTGGTAGTCAAGGTATAGCAGAGAGTTGAGCCGACTTAATACGAAAATAGAGAAGAGAACCAAACTCTCTCACCATAGGCATCCTTATTTTCTCTTTGATCTCTTGTACAACAGACGAGAGACAAGCCTATGAAGGAGAGAAAGCATGGAAGATATCGAGTCCCTAAATTAAAACAGCTCTTCAACAACACCACGCTCCATATTGGGTCCTTCTGTTTAACCCTTCCACGGACCCTTTCTGCCTCCCAATTTCCATGGTAAGGAAAGGGTTGTTTATGCCCTCGAAGCGTTTATATTGGCGCAAGAAAGATTCACGCAAATTAAAAAGCCACGGAAAGTCCCTCCTTATCCACGTGAATTCCACAAATATTTCACAACAAACTAGTGGAAACTGGATGAAATTTTGTTAATTGCTGCCTAGTACCCTACCTTACAGTTTTCATCGTGCCAACGAAATCCAAAGTCCTGTTTTTTCCCCTATTCAACTGAAAGGAATTGTTATATCTAACGTGAGAAATTGTTCAGAAAGCTTCAGTCTGATCTCTTGTTCTTAGTGAATGGTCAATAGTGAGCTTGTGAGGTTACAAATGAGATAAGAAGCCAACAGAAGCTATGATTGACGCTTGTAGGAAACAACACGCCTCCTTCATATCATGTCATCCTATCACAAACAGGAGCTGAAATGAAATAGACAACCTCGCCCTCTTCATGATTTAGAACTTGTTATTATATTCCCCCGCACGGGAGCACTTCAAATCAACATTAATCTGATCGATTACTCTTATGGCACCAAGGAAAGATACTCCTCCTCGGCCTCTTCTATTCTTTCCTTCGTTTTCCTTTTTCCTTAACAAGCTGTTGGCATAAGATTACAGTGATATATTGACTCAAATTATACTAAAATAAATATCTAAGTTAACAAGCTATAAGTAATGTTTGACATCCAATGACAAAGAATAATTCATACGTTTCATTCTATGAGCGCTAGCATACATCTATGATTCAAGCACAAGCTAAATGTCACTGTGGCACCCGGCAGAAATTTTAGAAAAAAAAAAAAAACCTCCGGTCTTCACTTGGAAAATCTTCGAAGCCGTTTTTATATCACAGGTGTATTATAGCACCGCAATCTCTTAAGCATTGAAATGATCAAGGATTGATGTCGAGAACAGCCTCGAGTAACATGCAAAAGAGGAAATCATTCCTGATAAATGCTACTCGAACTAAAACATAATTAACAATAATATTGTAAAAAGAAAATAATTAACAGTATCAGAAATAAAGAGCGACGCATATAAAGACAGATAATCACAATCTGCTGTTATAAGTAAATTCATTACTTACATTATAATTTCGACCAAATTGAGGAAGACATACAAAGCAAAAGACATACAGTCAGTGAGATTCACAAGCATAACTGCAAAAACACTGAGAACATGTGATTGAAAGATAAAGAACAATTAGAAATTTAAACAAGCCAAAATTTGATGTGTTGAGCTACTTCTTAAAACTCTTCATGCATTTCCAAATTCCAAACATTTTTCCACAGATGATAACTCAACCTTGGATATAAACCCAGTCACCAATCCTAGAACTCTACTTCCCCTGTTCTCTATAAGCAGGCACAGATTCTATTTACCAAATCTCATAAAAAAATACTAAAAAATTATTTCCAGTTATATATATGCATAAATCTCATGCTACATAACTCCTGCCATCAGCACCCAATTTTTTTTCCTTATTAAAACTCAGTCTTTCTGCTGGTGCTTTGTTTAAAAGCATAGGCAACCTCACAACAGCACGGGAAGCCCAAATAGTTAAACATAATAAATCACAAAATGGCCCTAACATAAAGAGAGAATGACTTTTAGCCATTGTTACCATTGTTTCAAGAATGCACAATCAGCCTCTCAATTACACCACCCCCCGACCACCCTAATACCAGGCGGGAAAAAGTTGACGAAGCATCAAAAGAACTTCACTTCTGGGGTCAGTCATTGTAAGATGCCATGTTTGAAACTGTAATCTCAGAAATGATGCTCTATTACTTTAGTGATAATCAGAAATACAAAATGAATGTAAAACGAAAAAAAGAGTAAGAAGTTTCCTACTTTCAGCAAGCTCTGTATGCAATCAAACATATTAGACTGATTTAATTTCCATTCAACCAATAGACTTTCTCACAAAAGTAGTAAACTCAATATTTTGGACCCAATGACCAAAGTTCAACGGATAAAGAGCTTCTGTATTTGCCAGACCACCATAACTGAATGGAGAATTTAACAACAGAGAGACTAAGAAATGAATTGAAGATAATAATCTGCCAGTAAGCTCATAAAGTAGAGAAAGAAGGAAACAACTTGTTTACACAAAATTCGTAATGTAGCAACAGGTTACAGAGTGTCCAATGAAGATAAAAACTTTGATATTCTTAAAATGAATGCCACGTAAATCCAAGTGACAGATTAAAAAAAAAAAAGAAGAGCCCAGAGGAAGAAAGAAAAAACAAAAGAAAAAAGATTAGCGTTAGGCTTAGGCTTGGGTGCCTGTTAAAGTCTTCATCTGAATATGATTAGAATCAGCAGAATTGGTAGGCAAGGCCTCGTAGGAGCCCAGTCTCCTAATTCCAACAGCCTTAGAAACAACGGCGTAAGTGAGCATCACAATGATAACCACAAGAATGACATGAACCACAAACACCAGATCCAGAATGGCCACAGCCCTCAGCCTGGACTCGTCAAGGTCGCACTTGGTGGACCCCTCCACTCCGCTCACAACATCCAGCAATTTATGGCACCCTTCTGGTATAAACGCCTCTACGTAGAGGGAAAGCCCTGTCTGCAGCTCCCACAGCCCCTGCAAGCATAGCGCCGCCCCCAAAGCCGCCTCCGCTACAAAAAGCTTCGGGTAGCAAGCCAGAATCAGACACATCAAGGAAGCCAAAGAGGAGATGCGGGCCGACAACGAATCGCATTTGGCTTGGAGATCAGATGTCTGGACCGATGCAGCAGCGGTGGAGACAGAATACTGGAGAAAGAAAAAAGCAGAGGCAAAGGCGAAGAAGAGATCAGTGGGGAGGGGAAGGAGGGAAGAGGATTCCGAGAGGAGAAGGGAAAGAGAAAGGATGAAGAAGAGAAACAAGACGGCGGCGGAGTGAAGGGTGGTAAAGCGGTGGACAGGGGTGCGGCCCTTGAGGAGAGGATCAGGGTCGAAGGAGGTGAAGGATTGGTGAAGAAAGGCGATGAAAAGGCAGAGAATGAGAAAATAGAGAGGAAGGTGTTTGAGGCGGAGATTGGAAGAGAAGGGAAAAGGGTGGAAAGGCTTGGCGGAGTAGGACTGTGGGAATTTGAGGAAGTTACGGGTGGTGCAGATGAGGTGGTAGAGACCGAGAGAGAGAAGCGTGGATGACGCGAATAGCTGGTATATTAGGCCTGCCATTTTCTTACAAATTAGTTGTGCGCCCCGATGACGGAAGTAAACAGTAATCGAATGGAAGAAATCAGGCACAAAGCAAAGGGCAAGTCGGAAGAGTGGTTTGCTGATTTTGATTTTGATTTTGGGAGGATGAACGAAGTAGCTGCAACTTGCAAACACAAATTCTCATCTGTTCTTTTTCTTGTTTGGTGTTCGACTATTGTGAAGCTCGCATATCAAATTAGGCTTGTTTGGCAACTGTTTGTACTTTTACACAGCCCAGTATTCTGAAGCCTCGGTCGAAGCATGCACATCTGCTTGATCTTGGTTTCAACTGTTTTTTCTGAAGCCCGCATCTCAACTTGGGCTTACAACTCGGCAGCGTGTAATGTGCCCCATTATTTGGATTTTGGAACATTTTCAGAAGTAATTCCTTTTTAAAAAAAAAAAAATTAATGGACAAAATCGATTCTTTTAGCATCAACATTATTATGTTAATTCCACTAAAAAAAAAGCAAGACCATGTGATGTTGCGCATTCTTTTTAATACCGAATTACTTCAAATTAACTCATGTTAACTCTGCTTTTTTTTTTTTCTAAAAGTAATTTATTAAAAAAATTAGAGCATTTACTTTACACTAAACTTCAACTCTTAAAGATTAAACCGTGGTTCCATCACATTCATATTTGTAACATAGATATCGAAATTCATCACGTTATAGGTGGTGGACGGAGTTTTGAACATAACATAATCTTCAGAGTTCCAAAAATTCATTTGAGACAGCTTGCTCAAGTTACAGAGAAGAGGATGAAGATCCTTAAATAAATATATAAAAGAAGTTCCCTTTCCACAATGGGAAAGAGGCAAGCTACTGAGATTTCTGGAGCTTATTACGTTTTTCATTGGGTATCCCCTGTTTCTTGTGATGCTGTCTTCCTTTCCTTTTCTTTACTAAAGCATAACTCAGTTGAAAATGAGGTAGAACCTTAAACCTTTGTTTTGCTATTTTAATTAGGTTTGTGTCTGCAGAGAATAATCCTATTCAACAATATTTTGAAACAGAGCCATTCCTATTTAATATTTGATTGACTCATCCTTTACGCTGTAATATGGGAAAGGTCAAATGTTTTGATTTAATAATACTCATGAGTTGATGAATCAAGATAGTTTTCCATCAGAGTTTGGTTCCAAGTATTTTTGCCATAATTCTCAACCATTTTTTATGTCAAAATCACAAATATTCTCAAGCACCCACCTTTACTTGAGCACAAAACTGGACCAAACACAACGTAAACCCTGAAATTCACATCAACCAAAAAAAAAAAACATATTTCCTGTATTGCCTGCCATAATTTCATAAAAGCACTTGGACACTAAATAATAAGAACAAGGAGAAAGATTACCAGCACCAACACAAAAATTACCAGCACCCACCAGCACTGCCAAGCCACGATAAGAAACAAGATATCAAGATGAGATACAAAAATTAGGGAAACAAGTGGAATGGTTATTAGATCATATAACACTTAAAAAGCATTATGCTAGGGATACACGATAGTCATGATATAAATATTTCAAATAGATTAAAAACACCGCAGAATGCTATCTCAAAAACCTGCATTTTTACATCTTTGAGAGCTTAATGTAGGAAGGACTAAGGAGCATATGATTCCTTTGCTACAGCCCATTGTGCATGGGACTTTTCATCAATGTGCAACTTTCAGAATAATAGTTTGAATATGATCTTTGTCTTGGAAGGCTTTCATAAGGATTGGCAATGTTGTGAATATGCCTCCCCACTACCTATATGTGTAAGTAGATAGAGTTTTAAAAAGAACTTTGCATACCAGGGACTAAAGCTATGGGTTCATTTAATATTGCCAGTTAAACAACAGCAAAGCTATGAACTAGCCAGCAGTATCTTCCTTAAATTCAATATTATTTATTTGTGGACATATAGATCAGTTGCACGTCAAACCTACGATTTCTATAACATCCATCCAAACGTATGGAATCACATTAAATATTTTCTCAACTGTAATAGACCATTGACAAAAATGAATCTGGAATTGGTCATTTTGTCCTCTAATTTCTCGCTTATGCTCCCTGCCTTCCTCTTCTATCTAAATGTCTTATATCATGAGCATTGACCAGACTCTTACATGCAGCAATTAGAAGTCTTTAACATAAGTAATTCATGCACCTCAGAATCACTATGCCTCCTTTCTTGTGACAGTAGTACCTGTCCATTATCTTCTTCCTCTTTATTTGTTATTCAAGTTTATTTGCAATTCATACTCTATCATCAAAGCAAGCACACAGTGAATGGATCTGAAGGTTGAAACAATCTTTGCACATTGTATTTGCTCAGCAAAATTTCAACTACAAATACAAAGAATTTCATGTTCAATAAAATTCTAGAAGTCAACAGTGTACTGCATACCAATGAGGTTTGGGATTTCACATTTTTGGAAGCCTTAGCTAGTTGAACTCTAGTCTCGATCGTTGCAGCAGAGGAAGAATCAATATTTGATGAAATGTCATCTGTCACATGAAATCAATTATCATATAATTAAATAAAAAAAGAAAAAGCAGGTAGCTATATTTTGGCATGCAAATAAAGACGCAAAAATGAATTTAATCTATCTCAAGGGTATTTAGCATCTTACCAACGACCATACCCTGCTCATGGACAAGAACAGCAAGGTCCTTGAATATTTCATTTACTTGTCCTATTTGCTCCTCTACTTCTCTGATACCCTGTTCTCTTTCCTCAATCATAGCTTCATTGAAGGCAATTTCATTATCCAGCAAAACTGCCTCTTGTCTGCACATTTTCTTAGAGTAAATGAACCATAAAAAAAAATGCTTTTGCAACGCTTTGCAACAAAAACAACAAATGATGGCACAATGTCGTGGAATGCTGTCTAAATATTTAGAAATTAATAATTTAAAAATTTTAGTGAAATTTAACCAAACCTCTTTCACCCAAAACATAGTTACGCATATAGGAGTCAAAAAGTGTTTGAGAACAATGGATATCAAGAAAAGAGGGAGCCAATATCACGTGCATTCATGGATGCAACTGAAGCTGTTTGATCCATGACATTGACAGTGATGTAGCATCCTAAGTAGAAGAAAAGTGACAAAAAAGGGAAAGCATGTATTCACCTTCTCTGTTCCATAAGAAAAGGTTGTTTCTCTTGAGGCAGAGTAGGTGCCCAAGAATCAATGGAGCCAGAGCTGCATCCAGAGGGCAAAGCATCCAATCTGTAACAGGCCACAAAAAAAAAAAAGAAAATAGGGGATGCCAAATGTAAAAGAGCGATACTTTGTGGGCAAGGAGGGTGGAAGAGCAGCAGGAGAGTAAGTAGACTCGCGTTCAGAGGCCAACTGCTGAACTTTCTGAAATTCTTGCAGTGTGTTCTGAAAATCCCTAGCAAGCTTTGCATCTTCTATCTTCTTACTTGGCTGAACGCGAAATTTGATGAGTCTTTACTATTTACTCAAACTAAATTCTGGAATGAATTGAACATGTAAAAAGGGTACTTGGAAAAGAAAAAAGTTTAGGCTTTGCTTGGTAGGAAGGATGGAAAGATTATTAATCTAATGGTTAACCTACAAATGAAGCAAGTGGTTATAAATTTAACCACTAGATTAACAAAATTTCCATCCTTACCTCTTTTCATCCTTCCTCCCAAGCAAAACCTAACGAGAAAAGAAAGATACATCGACAGTAGGGTCATGATCGGATTCACTCAAAGCCTTGAGCTTAGCGGAAGTTTCCTTCACTAATTGCAGAATCCTTTGCCTGGTACTGTGCCTGTCGATCATTTCATTTGCAACTTTGTCAGAAATTATTTTGCTGGAAGAAGAAGAATGCATCTTTAATCTGTTACTATCAGTATATAAGATAAGATGAAAAAAAATACAGCTTTTGGCGTTGATCAGGAGTGTCCTTGGCTGTGCCGATGGCATCCATAAGGCGACGGAATGCAGCAACGGCGGTGTTAATCTGGAAGATACCGGCTGCCACCGCTTGTGAGGGGCTCTTGGACGCCATCGATGATGAAGATGAGGAGGGCCGACCCCGACCACCACTTGGAACGTCTCGAAAGCTCATGTTTCGCCTTCCTTTGGGTTTCGACTTCCCAGAAACAAAAAATTCCACTCTTTGCCTGACTAACAGAGAGCTGAGAGCAGACAGTATTTCAAAGTACCCCCATTCCAGGCCTAAAAGTTTCTTATCCGTACAATAAATTAAAATCCATTAAATAGATTTAAGTATAATTTTTAAATTCCCTTAAAATCGAATTTTAAATAAAAGCTTTAAAATTCGAGTAGATCCAATTCATTTAAATTCATATATATATATATATATATAATTTTTTGTTTTTATTTATGTAAATATTTATATATAAATTAGTTCATAAATGTATAAAAATTAAAAACAAAAATTATATATATAACTTTAATTTTTACATGTATAATTTTTATTTTTAATTTATATATATGAATTAAATATAATTTGATTAAATTTAATTTAATTATATTTTTTAATTTTTTATTATAAATTAAATTTAATGAATGAGCTTAACATATATTTTTTTAATTTAAATCAAATTTTAAAAAATTTCAAAACTCAAAAGTTTCGTTAAATCGAATTTAACAAATGTATAAATTATAAATATTAAACATAAACATAATCTGAATTTAACCCGATCCCATACAGATACACTTTTACCCCATACCCAATGACCAATGCCCTACCCTGTGAATGTTATGCCTAACACAGTGACACGGTTTTGGTTTCGATTTCGATGCGGTTTCAATTTTGGTTATGGGTTAATTAAAACATCGATCACTCAAATATATTTTAAAAATATTATTAAACTTTTAAAATTTTTAATTTAATTATTAATATTTAAACAATAACATTTTTTTATGAGTCATCTATTAGTCAGTAATGTATATTAATATGATAATAATATCTTAGTTATTAAGTGTTACATGATATTATAATGTTAATAAAATTATTTTTTAAAATTTTTATTGTTACATCAATTAGAATGTTCGTTCTATTGATTTGATTGATTTTGAATCACTTTGTCTAATATCAATTTCTCAAATTAGTTTATTTTATTTTATTAATCAAATCAAATTTATTAATTTTAAAAATTAATTAATTAAATTTAATTCGATTGATTAAATTAATTTTTTATTAACAGAATAATAAAATACATTTAAATTAAATTATATTTTTAATTTTTTAGATTTTATACATAAAACAAACTAAATAAAATTATTTAACAAAATATTTAAATATCAAACTATTAAATTAAAAAATTTAACAACTTATAAAAAATGATTTATTTTATGTATTTTTAGTTTTATATAGGTTTTTCTTGTATTTTGATTAATTCGACTATTGAATTGGATGAATTTTGATATCCGTAAAAAAAAATATATTTTTTAATCTCTGTAATACTTGGATATAAAAATTTTCTTTTACAATTATAATTAGTATTTTCATGATTTTTATTCTTAAATTTTCATTATGTTTTATCCTTATTTTATTTTGAAATTTATTATCATGTCATAAAAAGATAGCTAAAAATAACATGATTAATTAACTCAAATTTGTTCATAACTCAAATTAAGTATATAGAATTTTTTTACTTATTTAAAATTTTAATTTAATTAAAAATTAATATAACACACAAAATTATATAAATGAACTAATCTGACTTGATTTCAATTGATTTTAAACAATCAACAACTTAATAATTATTTAAAACTCAAAATGCTTGAACATCACCAAATTTTGAAATTGAAATAGTAGCCTAATCATATATTTCTTATTTTTATTCCGTAACAATTTTAAAAAAAATTATTTAAGCTTTTTTCTGCATCTTTAATGTCTCATTTTTATTGCTAGTAGAATTGGTTAATTAATTTTAAAAAATATTTTTAAAGTAAAATTGAAATTATAAGTAATTGATTATACATTTTTTATGGATTTAAGATGATTTAAATCCAGTTTTTAAAACAAAGAGATGTATTTACTAATTATTTAGTCAAATTTGATCGGGTGCATAAGTGAATAATTAAGTATATTATGAATAAAAGAAGATAATAAAACTTGATTTAACCTAATTCATTTCGATCTTAAGTTTAAAACTCTATTTGAAATTATAAAAAGTCAAATTTCAAAATTATTAAATAAAAATTTATCAAATGAAATTTGCTAATGAACACCCTTAAATTACTTTTAAATTTAGTTCAATTATAATTTATAATAATATTTTAGCTAAAATATTTAAAAAGTCCTTGAACAATTTCACTTTTTTTAAAATAAACTCTTATATTTTTATTGTACCTAAATAAACATTTTATTCTTTGATTTGTATTCAAATAAGCTTTTATTTCAAACCAAAATTTGATTTATGTGAAAGGTTAATTTAGGTACAATCTAAAGATTAAGAGCTTATTTTGATAAAATTAAAGTTTAAAAGTTTTATTTAAGTGCAAATTAAAAATTAAAAATTAATTTTGGTATAATAAAATTTTAAAGGATTATCTAAGTAAAGTGGTAAAATTCAATGGCATTTTTGTTGTTTTAATCTAATATTTTTATATTAAATGTAACAACAATAATTAATTTGATAAATTTTAATACTTTTGAACAAATATTACTTAATATGGTAACCTTAAAAATTTTGATACAATAGTAAATATTATTCAACTTATATAATGAGAAAATAAAGAAATATACAATAGTTCTTCTAATAACATAGTTTTATTTTAATCCTAACAAAATTTTAAATAAATACATTTATATATTTTTCATTGAAATATCAAATAGCACTAATTTTTTTATCATATGAAGAAGATAGAGTTATTCATAACCAATTAATCTTTCGTTTCATTTTTTTCTTGGCATAATCTTTCATTGGTGTTTCCATTGATTAAATGTAATTATACATTCTACTAATTGAAAGTTTAAATTTTCTTTTATTTGAAAATTTTTATTATTTAAAAATATTAAAATGCATAATTTTAGAAATTAAAATGAAATAAAATAAATTCTTAACCTTAGTACTTGTCATTTTTTTTCTTAAAAAAATTTTAATTCTCAAAACAACAAACTTATGGCGCCTATACGATTTATAATAATTTCATTTTTAATATTAACTGTAACGCTTCCAATCTCATATCAGAATGATGTGTTGATAAGGAATGATATATATGTAGAGATTTAATTTCAAACTTACGAGGCACCTTTTGTGGGACAAAATCGTGAAACCTTTGATCCAAAGTGAATAATACCTCGCAGGTTTGGTGCGGATTTTCATAAATGGTATCAAAGCGGTCACCAGTCCACAGTTGTGAGAGTCACTAAATGCTACATGATGGAGCCGTGAGAGTCACTAAGTGCTATACGATGGTCTGGTGTGATCTTGGTCCCGTGGATGTACTTAGCTTGACAGTAACGTCAAGCATTAAAGGTGGAGAGATTGTAACGCTCACAATCCCACATCAGGATGATGTGTGGATAAAGAATGATATATATGTAGAGACTTAATCCCAAACTTACAAGGCATCTTTTGTGGGACAAAATCGTGAGACCTTCGAGTCAAAGCAGATAATACCTCACAGGTTAGGTACGGGTCTCCACAAATGGTCCCCAGCTCAAATAATAATTGGGTTAGACTAATACTAAAGCCTATCAGTTTATGAAGACATTATTTAGTAAAAGAAAAAAAGGTTGAAGTATTAGATAAAAGAAAACCTAACTAGGAAATAGAGTTCTTATTCCTCATCTTTCTTAGGGTTAGAGAATATAAAAAATCAAGTTAGAGATTTACAATCAGAGGCTACAATCAAGTTAATCTCTTAAAGGTGAGTACATGCCCTCTTTTTATTTAAAAAGAAATATCAAGTTGATTGCTATTATTTGGAGTTGAAGTTTTGAGAGCAAAACCAAGAAAAATCATGAAATATTTCATTAATCTTCATGATCTATTTAGGTAAATTATTGGGTTTTGTTTATTTCATGTTCTTAAGATTTATTGATGATTATTGAATGGAGTTTGAAGGTTGAAAGTAAGGATTTGAGTTTTTAAAGATTGAAAGAGAAATTTTATTTTTGGATGAGATATTATGATCTGTAATAATGAATTAAAATAAAATTTTGTATTAATGGATAGATTATTGCTGTGATTATTATATATCATTGGAAAGCATGTTGAATCTAGTTTTCTAATGAAATAAACGAAAGTCAAATATGAGTTTTCTATGAAAAATTGTCTAATTTTAACTTAAGGATATGCAGGCTGTAAGACAACAACATCAGGGTTGAATTACGAAATTTTTCTTAATTTGTATACAAGGATTTACAGATTAAGCATATATGTTTGGAAACCTTATTGAGTCTACTTTCCAATGAAATAAGTGGAATTGAATTTGGAGTTTTATGTGAATAAATATATAATTTTTATTAGAAGGTATACAGGTTGTTTGGTAGCAGTATATGACATGGATTTCAAAATTTCTTATAATTAATATACAAGGAATTACGATGTGTGCCATATATGCTTAGAAAGCTTATCAAGTCTAGTTTCTAACGCATTAAAGAGAACATAATTCTGATTTGGATATATTAAGATATGATTATTTTAATGAAAAGAGGTCAAGCTGCTAATATTAATTAATTAAGTTAACCCTTTGTGTAACTTAGTTAGTTTTTGTATAAATGGTCTAAAAAAGGGTTGATTAAATTCTAATCTGTTGAAATGATCTTGGATAGGCCATTAATTATTTTGAGAAAAAAACTAAGTGGTGGAATCGAATGGAGGTAAGTAGAATCTCACACACTTTACTTGTTTTTGAATCTATGTATATATATATGTTTATAAATGAATGAATATTTTATTTCATTATTTTCGATATATGAAAATAAGATCAAGCATATGATTATTTTGTGTTTTTGCTATGTAAATGATGGATTATGATTATGAATGAAATGAGAAAATGATTTATGTTTAAAGAATGATTTTTGTGATAGCTACATTTTTACATCTTTGAAAAGTGGGATCATCAACACTAAAACTAGTTCTACGGCCCTAGCTAATAGGTTATAGTAGTTAGCATAGACATGATCATACGGCCCTGCTAATGGGTTATAATAGTTAGCGTAATGCTCTAACTAGCGCGTTATAATAGTTAGCAATGATCATGAGGA